TCTGAGAGAAAAAACTTAATTTTTTTTAAATTTCTTAACTCCAATTTTCATCGGTATCGGCAGAAACATTTTTAAAAACTTGCAAAAAGAACAAGCTTTAAGAAATGAAAAAAAGCGGAATTATGAAAATAAACCTGTTATATTAAAACGCTAGATTAAAATTCCTAGCTGTATGACATGTTCATTGAGTCGTCATAGTTCAAAATAAAGTTATCTAACGAAAGGTAGTTCTTTCTGTTTGAGGCCATTTTGGACATTTTCTGGGTAACCTTATCTCAGTTTATTCCATAAAAAAGACGCAACTGAGCCAGTTTATTAGCTTTATATTCAGTGAACTTTGTTTTGTAATTTGAACCGGTCGTTCAACTTTTCGAGTTTCTCCTTTATTTCGATTTTTTACTCAGGTCTTCTTCCTTGATCACTTTGCTTTAAGTATTTACTGAACAATTTTTTGAAATATATGAAGCTCAGTAGATGTATATAATTTGTGTTTCCCGTAATAGTCTTATTTAGTCGAATTTACGCTCAAAGGAAACTTCTCCGTATAGTCTTTACAGATCAATATCCATTTGTTTCATGACACTTTTGTTTGAAGTACCATACAATAGCCAACTGACCGTTGGAAAAGAGTAATGAACGCAAGAAAACAGAAAAAAAAACACAATTTGTTAGAAAAATCTCAACTTTATAATCTTAAAAAAAGATGCACTTTAAGCTCTTTGAAAATCTAGAACAGATTATGACCGGCGCTTTTTCGATAACGTTAACCCAACTTGAGAAAACTGGATCAATAGGTAAAATTTTTATTCCGCTGGCAATCTAAAAATTAAATTCCACTTTCGAAACGAGAAATTGATCGTTACTTTTGCGCCATTTCAACGTTCATATTTGCAGAGTGTTATTTACGTAACTTTCAGCAGATCAATTTAACTCAAAAAGTGCAAATATACCCAAGTGCATTCATAAATGCAGTATATATTTTTAGAGCAAAAAAAACACACCAAGAATAATATGACAGTCTTCACTACGTTAACTACTCTTAATAATACTCAGAGGCGAAATAGAGCTTTGCACCAGTTGCGAAACAAAACAAGCATAAAAACATAAGAAGAAATAAATGAAAAAAGTTGAAAAAAAAAACAGTCTCCAAAATATTAAATTTTCATAAGTCTCGATAGAATTCCCTTCTACGCAAAAAAGACAGACATTTGAGTATTAACTAAAAAATAAAACTTACGAGAAGGAAACAAAGCCGACAAAAAAATGAACCGAAAAACATGATATTATAAAAAATCTTTAAAAGTTGAAGTGAAATGTGCAATAAATTGTTTAAATTTGATGGTAGTTGATAGAACAAGCGGCAAAATGTGTTCAATTTTTCTTGAGAATTGAAATGTTAGACACGGTCTTCAATCCTAGATTACATTGTGGCTTTATCAAGTCCAAATTAACTTTACGCTTAAAATAAATTCACGCTTTAAGTTCTTGTTACAATCAACTGAAAATTCAAAAAGGGTGTTGGGACAACAAATTCAATCATAGTTACAGCGAAATGTTTGGGAATTTACCGCCAAGAAAAACAAAGTATGTTGACAGAAAAGTCTTTGCGAGCGAGCAGTTAATAAAAAATCAAGGTAATGCGAGTATGCGAGTATCTTCCGTGCTTCTGGTAATTAATTTAAAAAAAAATCATTAATTGCTATAACAAGAATCACACGCTGAAAAGAAACATTTGGTCCGATTCGCTGACCCTGCAAATTGAAAACGACTAAATTTTTCTACGTATATTACACTAGCCAGCTACTCTCGGTCTACACGTTGAAAACAATCAATGGTATATAATATCATTTTGGAATCCTAATCACGACAGCATGGGTTTTCGTGATACAATCAACGACCCTCTTCAAAAAAATTTTGCGGTACCAGAAAATGCGAGGAAAACCCACCACAGTTCATTGCTTCCCACGTCCTGAGAAGTGTGGACAGAAAGAAACAGACAAAAAATAATGCAAATGGCTTCAAAGCAAAAAATCTTCGAAACTAGGAAATAACGAATTTTACTACTCAGTTAGCTTCAGAAAAATTATTGTGAATTATCAAGAATTGGCAAAAAGAGCAATGATATTAATTTTTTCTAGAAAACCTTAAGATAGCCAACATACCGCAACACTTGCAATGCAAAAAAAAAACATTGCGTTACAAAATAATGAATGAAAAAAAAAGACAACAACAAAAAATTCTGAAAAATTATGTTGGAAAAATTACTCGGAAAAATAACTTCACAAAAGTTGAAAAAAAAACAACTAAAAAACTTCATATTTATATCAGATGAAGTTCATAAGCATCCCTTAAACAATGAAATCAATTACCGAGCGGCAACTAAGGCGACCAACATTGGATCGAAACATGTTGAGCAGAAAACAAAACTGTTTTAATAAAAAATTTAATTAAATTTAAAAAATTTCACGACCTATCCAAACTGAAACAGAATACCAAACGAATATAAAATTGCCCTCACCATTACGCGAAATAAGTTGACAAAGTCGACATAACATTAACTGAGACTGTTTGAATATTTAAAAGAAAAACGAAAAAAAAAAAACTCAAAATCAGACATAGTACACTTACAAATTTGTTTAAATAAATAAAAACCCGTGCTTTAAAAACTAAACCAATAAAATCCTACCAGATAAAATATGGCGTTGAAAAAACGAAAAATAAACCGGAAATAAAAAAACGCCCGCAAAATCAGCAGACATACAAACACCTAAATTAGCCGAAGTTTTTGAAATTGCAGAAAAAACAATTTCCCACTGGAATCGAACTCCCGGGCTTTGCCGTCATGTATGGCAGTTACAGCAACTTAAAAGAAAGCTGAACTTTAAGAAAAACCAAGTTACAGGAACTAAGCCGATAAAATACAAACAGAGGGACGATAGTCCGAAAAAGCACCAAAAAATAGTTCGCAATAAAATGGGTTCCGACCGGATTCGAAACACAAGCCTTTGCCTTGCCAACCAGATCTCCGGGACGGTTGATTGAATTCGAATATATATTGAAGGAAGCATATGAGGGAGTCCAGGCTCCAGGAGATGAGTCTTGCGAACAAAGTTATTTACGGGAATTCTAGTACCCGATTTCAATAACCTTGCAAAAAACACAAAAAACACCACAAATGCAAGAAATACCACAAATTATAAATTGCACGGTTGAAATCATTTTATACGATGAGATGAAAACAAAAATCAAACCAGAGCGAACGTTTCCGGTGCGAGTAGCACAAGAAAAAAACCACATAAAAAAAATTTTCTTTTGTTAACAATGTGTCCTTTTTTGTGTGTGGTTTGATAATAGGAACAAGGCAAAACTTACACAGAGGTGTAGGTGAGCTTAGCATTACTTGCGATACAGAAAACCACCAATACGTTTAAAATCGAAAAAACGCCACAAAAAATAACCAACATTTTCATTTTCGCGTCTTACATTAAACTCATTTTGATTTAAAAAAACCTGTCGCGAAACACAAATGCCAGTTTTAAATTAGCATCAACAAAAATAAAGATGAATAACTATGCAGAAGAAACTTGGGTAGACACACATTGAGCCGGAAAAATGTCATAAAAAGTCCAATAGTGGGATTTTTTTAAGGCAAAAAATATAAAATTTTCAATAAATCTTTTTCAAAAAATCGATGTGCCATTAATTTCAATCAATTAACAAAACTCTCGGACACAATGACGATTAAGGATACAATGAGGCGATTTACACAGAGGCGAAGTTGCACTTTGCATACATAAGCAAAAATGTGACCGATAAGGCTACTGCGGAAAACTGAATGAGTAAAACTTTGATTCTAAAAAATTTCTACAAAGTGACGCACGCCAATTATGACGCATCAGCAGTACCAGTCAATTTGAAAAAAAAAAACACTTAACAACTAAAATGCTTCAATTTATAGAGCAGTCTATGGAGCAGTAAAAATATGAAAAAATTAAATGTTCTAAAAATGAAATGAATTTTTTTAATTTGACATTTTTTGTGAAAATCACATCCCCACACGCCATATCAATAATGGCAAATAAGCTTCCTTCAACCACTTTTGAACGATTTCTATGACGGATTAAATCTCCGCTTAAGCGTTAATAGCGCGAAATATATCGCGCGTTAATTGTCCTAAATTGGCCAAAATGGCATTTTTTAAGCCCCATAACTTAAAAAAAAATGATCACAAGTGAAATATCTTTCCAAATTTTTTAAGCCCAGGACAACAAAACTTTTTAAATGATATTTTAAAAATCGCGTCAAAAATGGCTAGTTAAGAAGTCGAAATTTGTCTGAAGAAAAAAACCACCCCGAGCACAAATATTCCGTTACTTTCGTTACGAAAGTCAGAACAATTATAGTATGTGTTAAAATCCTTAGCATTGGCTGTACTTAATAGCTGGCTAATGATTAAAATGAACACTTTCAAAATGAACGCATTTTATCGCAACAATATTTGCGACTTAGGTTGGAAAAAAAAAGACAGTCATACTATAACACAAGCATTGCTAGTTAAAAAATGATGGTATGCTCAAAAAATACAGTTGAGCCAGACATTCCGGTAGAACGTTATGCCAACTACTGCCCGGATTGATTCAAGTGACTTTATTAAAATAGTTGTAAGCCTGAAGAAAGGCTGCATTCCGATTTGATAACGGTTGCTAATCGCAAACGTAATAATTCCACAGTTCAATTTATGCATTTAGAAAATCATTTGAATTGAAGCGTGGGAAATTCATTTGTGTTATGAAGCCATTTTATAGGACTGCATTGCCCTCATATTGTGGTTCTGGGGGTCGTTTTTTGTGCCCAAAAACCCCTCTTGGGTTTAATTCTCCATTGAGTTAATTAAGGGAAACCACGGATTTTAATTTGGCTTATCTGAGTTCTATGACTTTGACTTGTAGCTAATAAGAAAATAATTAAATCTGAGATATAGCTTAATTTACTAAAAAATCGGACAAGGAAAAATGCATGGGACAAATTTATGCAAGTGAAACATTTCAATTTGGTATCATTGGTTCCAGGTGGCTCATATGCCTGAGTATAGTTCTTTGCCGGTGAGAAGTACATTGTTCGAGTGGAGTATGTATTGCTGCTTCTACTTCGATACCGGTTTTCTAGCCTTAGTCTTCGCTGATGAAGCTGAACCACTTGATGCTCCTCCCACTTGCTTCTTGCCGGGCTGGTTGGATCCTGCCCCGAACAAATTGGTGAACATTTCCGCCATATCCGGCAGCTGGTTCTGAAAAGAAAACATTTGATTAGAAGCAAACATTGGCAACAGGCAGTTAAAAAAATCAACCAAAAACAAACGGAAAAATAATTGAATTTAAGAAAACACAAATTGCCTTAAACTTTTTTTGGACCAAGTGAACAATTTCCCCCCTAAATCAATTTAGAAGGGAGATTGTTCACTTGGTTGAAAGTAATATTTTTCAGGCAATCAAATTTGAGCATAGTCCATGCAGGCCTTCCGGCTTCAATTTGTCATTTTATGTTAGGGGGGAGATTGTTCACTTGGTTTATTAAGAGGGGAGATTGTTCACATAGGCCTGTTTTCAGGAAAAGGTCTTTTGAAGGTTGTTCAGGCTCACTTTGGATTTTTGTGGTTTTTGACTTCGGATAAGTTCACCTCAAGTTTATCACCAACAAAAAGCAATTGGTGCCAAAAATGTGAACGAGACTTTCAGATGACTTTTTAGCTTTCCCAGTGAGATAAAAACCCATTGATCCAGCTTTCTAATTTGGGTTTAAGTAAACAAAAAAGTTTCAATCGTAAAATTTGGAAATTAGGCCTGCAATCGCCATCTCAAATTTCATCGGCTGAAAAAAATTGCTTTTAACCAACTGAAAATCTCCCTCCTAAACTGCTGTAGCGGGAGATTGTTCACTTGGTCACAAAACTGATTGAAAATGATTAACTTAGAAAACTGTTTTTACTCTTAAGTCAATTGAACCACAAGAAAAGTATATTAAAAGGAAAGTAAAAGTCGAACCTGATTTGTATTGAACATGCTCATTGTCTCTTGCATTTCCTGTTTCCTTTCGGGATCATCGGTGTTGATCAACTTAGGAATTACCATCATTAGAATGAACGGCAGCACCACCATCAATACCATCGGATTCATAAGCGCATCTTGAACTCGGAATTGCTCCCGTTTCTTCAAATAAACTGCAGGCCCAAGTGCTTTTATCTTCAGGGGATAAAAGTCTTCATCAACCACATTGGGTGATATCAAATCCAACTTCCTCGCCCTCTTCTTGCCTTTGCTTGTGATGTCAACTCTTACAGGCGGGAACAAAAACTTTGTAGAAACTATTTCCACGATATATGATCCTGCAATAAAACCAGTCATTGAACGTTGAAAAAGTCAACCAAACTAAAAAGCAATGACAACAATTTCAGAAGAAAACAGTAGAACAACTTTTGCTAATTAATTGGTTCCAACGCCAGAAACACATTAACTGCTTAAATTTCTTCAATTTTTGCTGCTGAACAACAAAAGTTTTTTCGCCTAACCTGAGGGGACATTCGATACGGTAAACGTGCCGTCTGATCTGAAGAAGCCCTGATATGCATCACCGTTCACATTGACTTTTGCGGTGCTCACCCAATCGGATGCAGGAATGCCCGGCATCAATGCTCTGCCATCAATTGTGTATCCCGAATTTACTGGTGTAGAGCTTTGAACGCCTGTAGATGCATAGGCTGTGACAATCGTTGCAAGAGCTGAGATGAAAAGCCAAATTGTATACTCGGGAAGGCTCATCTTCATCGAAGTCAATTTTTTTCTGAAATCAGAAAATATTCTGCTACTGTTTAATTCAACGCAGAAACTTAACTCATCAACAGGGTCGGTTTAATGCTCACGGAAATCGGACTGTATTTAGACAACCGCGTACTCATACTCGCCTGTGGGCAGACAAATACTTTATTTTCGTAAATTTTTTTTAAGGGGTGTGACATTCGACCAGAATGGACGAAAATGCAGATTCGGCAATTTAGAATTACTAGCCGCTAACCTTCCGAAATAGCAGTTTTGAAAGATTAACAGTGTTATTGGAACGATTAGTCAAACTGTGAAGACTAAAATATTCTGTTATTTCAAACTTTTAAAATTTCGAAGGATGACGTCATATTTCTGACGTCCATTTTGGAAGAAATACAGAATTAAGACACAACAACAATAGTTGCAACGGCGACAACAACGGTATTAGAGAGAAAAAACGAAGATACGACAGAGTTTTTTCTCATCAAAAGAAATTAACATCGAAATGTGGGATAAATGAGCGGAGAGCTACCACACTGACTCATCTTTTCCTTTTTGCGTTGTTACTAACCCAAAGTGGGGATGTTGAAAAAAACCCTGGTCCTATTGAAACCATTGAAACAGTCTACGGCATCTGCTCAAAAAAGGGTGCAAATCTTAAATTTGTTCATTTGAATTTTCAAAGTATTATTAGAAAACGGATGCAATTGAAAAAATTTCTTGATGATATGGACGAAAATCAGGGAATTCAAACATTGGATTTTAAAGTTTGAGTTTGAGTAAATTCTGTTTGAGTTTGATGTTTGAGTTTGACTCAAACAGTGAAATGATGTTTGAGTTTGAGTTTGAATTTTTTATGTTGACACTCAATTTTCATGTCTTTAACCTTGGCATGACATACACCGTTTCGGGCAACATGCGATTTTGCAAAAAGTTTCGAGAAATTCTTGTCAAAGAGAAAAGCCTCTCTGGGTCGGCACTTGTAGGTCTGAACGATTTCATGGCCACGTCTATATCGAATGATTGTTTATCATCATCCACATTAAAAGCGTCAAAGTCCAGCGTTGGCTGTACAGAATATCCATGATCATGATCATCGGCAATAGGTGTGATTTCAGACAATGATTTCATTTTATCGTAAAATTCTCCTTGCCCGTTAACAATAGCGTTCACTACACTGTTCTGGTTTAACCACTTCCCCAACACTGATTCAATCGCAAAACCGACGGCCTCATCTTTGCCTGCCATATGATGAAGGAACACAATAGTTTTTCTAGCGTCTTTTACATCAGCATCGGCATGTTGTAGGCGTAGAGTGCACTGCTAAAACATTAATTTGGTTGACACACATTTTATGTTACATATTCATGTTTTATTCTATGGTAAGAATATACCAACAAATTTTGTCATTACCTGAAATGGTTTCAACATGCTTATGATGTTCGATAATCGTGTCCAATCGTATTCATCCAATTCATTAGGAAATACGGCAAGAAGTTCCGTCTTTACAGATAGAAACCTTTCCAACTTTTTTTAGTCCACCAACATATTCAACCAAATAAAAATCATGAACTGAATTGCTTGTAGAAGTCGGCTTCTTCCATTCTTGGCGCAGGATTGCATCATTAGCATTCTCTCCCGACATTCACAGCACTGAAATTATTCGAACCGATTATTCGACTCCGATTCGAAATGCCTGATAGTAATAGAATGTCAAAGATCCACGGAATTAAAAAATAATGCGCGATTTTCTTACGGAAAAAATCCTACACAAAAACAGGCAGGGTTTGAGTTTGAGTTTGATGTTTGAGAATATAGACGTCTACAGTTTGAGTTTGAGTTTGAAAGGAATAGTTTGAGTTTGATGTTTGACTGTTTGAGTTTGAGTTTGAACTCCCTGACGAAAATACAATTGTAGGAATTTCCGAAACGTGGCTTAAGAAAGAAGATAGTGACAATTTATGGAATCTCCACCCTAGAACGCATGCGATGTTCAGATATTATAGGCAATCAGCGGTAAAAAAGAAAGGCGGTGGCGTTTTGTTATATATACCAGTCAAATTGGCTCCGAAATTGAGGCCTGATTTAATTTTATTTGATAAAGAAAAATATGAGTCAGTGTGGGTTTGTGCCATTCTGCCAGATGGGCACAGCGCAACCTTCCGGCGACACGAAAGAAAACGAATAAAGGCCTTATTAACGGAAAAGTATTGCGAAGGAGGGTAGGAATATTCTAGAATTTTTATTTTAAAAATTTCGATCGAAGAGTGAATATTTCTGAGAAATACAAAAAGACGGCCATTTTGACTGAAAGGGACGAAAAAACAGAACAACGACAAATATTGAGACGAGAGACGAAAAACACAAGAGACGAAAAGCACAAGAGACGAAAAACACGAAGCCTCTTATCGTGGCAACAACACACGATAAGACTCTTAGCAGTGGATATTAGTGGAGAAGGAAGCTTCAGTGGGGAAGGAATATTCCACGGAACCCTCCCGTGCCACAAATTGGGAGAGATAACAGCGTTATCTCGGGAAGATTACGGGAGCGGAGGCTTGGTCCCCCATAGACTGTTGTATGTGAAGGGACTATATAAAACTGACTTTGTAGCTACTTGGATGTCGTAAAACTCTGAATTAACACCGGTATAATTTGATATTTTAGAATATGAGTAGCTAGAAAGAGGAAAGGGTCTATCCATCTCCAATGGATTTAATATAGAACTGTCACACAAAAACATATTAAAATAGTTTGTTCGAGCCGAGTTTTTAATAGCAATCACGTAGTCTGAGGATCCGAGACTCAGCTATGTGGTTGTGTTCGCATGTAACGAAAGCTGATCAAAAGTCGTTTGACTGATGGCCTAAAAATGGTAACTTTTTACTTAGCCCTAAACAGACCAGAAAATCAACTGGCAAGGTCGAGACGGTGAAAAACGAGTAGGGTTAAGGTAACTGACGCCTGCCAGTCGTTAATAGGTACTTTTTCTACGCTTCGTCGCTGTGTAGTATTTGGGCGAATGTTATATAGAAGTTTTTATGGCGCTCCTGGGTGGTCCTGTCAAAGGCATAAGACCATCATGATCAGCAAGCGTTTCAGCGAAGAACCCTCCGCTCCGTGCGTATGCCCGAGTTGGAGGCCTTAATGACCGTTATTGTACTACGGGAAAGTTGCGTACCCTCCGTCTAGTACTATTTAGCTTTTTAACTTAGTTAACACTGAAAATTCCGGGGGCCGGAGGGTTAGGTGGGAAGTCATGAGCCCGTTTGTCCCAAGGTCCCGGGACCAAAAACAATTAAAGAGAAAGCGTAAAACCAAACAAAAATAGTGTATAACCAAGAAAAAGCCAAAAAATAAATTTATTTGAAAACAAAAAAGTACAAAAAACAGTAAAAAATCCAAAAAAAGACCAAAAACAGTAAAAAACTTAAAGTGACGGTTTTTATGTTATTTCCGGACGAGATGTGATCTGACCTTTCTATTTGTTGTTGTTTCAGATTGATTTATATCATTTCTGATAGAAAGATTGTGTGTTTTGGTGAAGGGTTGGATACCCTCCCTTGAGTGTAATTTGAGTATTTAAGCACGTTAATGGTGATTTTGCCGGTGGCCGGAGGGTAGAGTGGCAAGCTGACCGGCGTGTTCCACACTCAACAAGGACATCGGGGAAAACATCCACGACGACTGTTGGGTATCGTTGAAACAATTTTGGTATCATTCGGTACTATTTCATCAAAACTTAAGTGGTGGGGGGCACGATTGGCGCGGTCCGATTGTACCCTCCATCGATTACAAATTTCCGAGTTAAGGGTCTTAATTCGGGTATTTTGGTGCAAAGGAGGGTATAGTACTATTCTTTAATGACTACTAATAGGTTATTATCCTTATTACATATTACTTATCTCCTAATTAGACCCAGGAAACACCCAAATTTTGTCGAAAATTATCGATTTTCGACCAAAGTGTAGACCCCCAAATTTTTGGATATCCGAGCTTTTCCTAACAGCAAAAAATTTTTATATAGGGAGCAGCTACGTAGTTCGATCCCCCTAACTAAAGAAACATCGTGACAAAAGACCCAGTAAAAGTTGGAAAAAACCAAAGTTGGAAAAAACCAAAACTCGAGTTTTTGAGTTTTTAGAGTTAGAGCAATAAAATTTTTGTATTAGGAGCGTGCTAGCATAACGTGCTCGGCTGCCAGAAAAATTCTTGAGTAACCCTCCGATTAGCTCCGTGGATAGAGTTAACGACTTAAGGTTTGGAAAAGGAAGGAATCGGAGGGTCCAAATTTGATAGTTTTTGGCCAAATTTTTGTTTCTAAACCAATTTTGGTCCGGTTTTTTGCATTATTCCAGTGCCGTACAAGGCTACTACGCTCGTTTCAATTATTTTTAGGCACTTTCAATAGGAATTGCGGAAAAATGTTCTCAGAACCTACTAAGGTGGTGAAAAAAGCCCATTTGGACAAACACGTTTTTGGCAATTTCTCAAAGACTAGCCAACCGATCGGGATAATTTTGGTACCATAAGTCGACGTTTTTGGACCACTTTTCCGGACCGCAATCGTTTTCGGTTGATAATCTCGGGAAAGAAAATTTTTTTTAGAATTTGTTGGTTCAGGGGGTCCAAATCACAGGTAACCCTCCGAGCGGCAGAAAATTTTATCAAAACACCTTTTTATCCAATTGGGAAGGTTTACCGTGTCAGCCAACCCCCTTTTAAGTCAGGTGGACCGCTTTTGGAGACTTTATTGCGGTAACATAACCTTTTTTCTTGATTTTTGGGGAGCCCTCCGAAGTAACCCTCCGGAGTCAGCTAAACCCCTTAGCAACCCTCCTTAGTGGAAAATTTCCACGAGATCATCCAAAGAAGTTAAAGCAGCCCCCCATAGAGAATTTAGCTTGTTTTGACGCTTCCTGAAGTTAATTGAAGGCCCTTCTAAGTGAGGTTCAGAAATTTGAAAATTTTGGAGGTACCCTCCGAAGTAACCCTCCGGAGCATATTAAGCATCTTATTGACCCTCCTT